TCCTGAAAAAGCCGAACATTTTGATACCTGAATGGCTTTTCTAGCTGAAAGTATGCTGAAGTAGTTAAGTGCCAAAAAACGTACGGAAGAATAATAATAAAGAAATAAATAATTGGAAAACATAGTATGGATGCTGAATCAGCATAATAAAGAACTGCATAACATAGTGTGGATGCTTATGCATCCACACAATAAAGAACAGGAGAGTATAGTGTGGATGCTTTACAGCATCCACACAATTATGTGATGGTGTAACTAGGCCCGTTGTTCTCAAAGTGTAGGGCACGCCCCACTAGTGGGGGATAAAGACATACAGGTGGGGCGCAATGAACGGGGAAAATTAGAAATGGGTCATTAATACAAGTAAATTAAAACAACATCAGTTTGGGGCCCGGGGAAAAACAGTGGAACCATAGTGCTACAATAACAGTTTACTGTCGACATGTTAACTGCAGCTCAACAATATAAGGAAACTGTCACACAGAGGGCCAAAAGTGTACGTAGTGGGCATAATAACGTAAATGGATAAATGTGTTACATGGACCACAAAAAAAAAAAAAAAAAAAAAATTGGCGATTCGGCGCAAGCAGAGAAAAAAATGACAGGCAGTAGCCTTATCAACCAAAAAGCCGGCCAAAAAGAAAACATGATGAAGCCCATCTTGCGCTTGGATTCACGGTGGGAATGTTGGGGGCAGAGGAGGGACCCATGTGTATCTTGTGTCTTAAGCCGCTGGCAGCAGATAGCGCGAGACCCAACAAATTAAGAAGACATTTAGAGACAACACACCCCAGTCACGTTAATAAACCACTTGACTTCTTAAAAAGAAAGCTGGCAGAAAACCGTCCGCAGGAAAATCGCATGATAAAATCCACATCAGTGGAAGAAAAGCACAAATGGCTTAATTCAAACTTGCATACAGAATTGCACAATGCATAAAACCACACACAATTGCTGAGCAGATCATTCTCCCTGCTGCTGGTGTCGATTATGCTGGATGGAAAAAAATGCTGCAAAATTGAAAATTATCCCTCTGTCCAACGATACAGTTGCACTTATATTTTATCTGTTTTGAACTTGGTGTTATTTGATATTTCAATAAATTTGATATTTTAAAATTGGCTGATTTTGTTATCAATTTTTGGCAAGTGGGGCTTGAAAATTTGCCCACCCTCTTAAGTGGTGAATGACAGAAAATGTTTGAGAACCACTGAACTAGGCTTTGTGTGAATGATGTGAAAACGTTTGTATAGATTGAGTCGGTCGAGTCTATGAACATATGTAGTGTAGTAGGTGGGAGAAGGCGTGCTTGGGGAAACAGGATGTGCTAGGATGATAATATGTGCGTATGCAACTAGGCCAGGGTGTGAATAAATACAAGGGATGGAGAATCAGTCATTTTTATTCAGGAACAGAAGTTTCTCCACTGTCTTTGGACCGATCAGCTGAAAGTGTTCCCACATTGGAAAACGAGGTCTCTTCCTAGCTGGCTCCATGGTGATCACACACCAGCAGCAATGATCATACCGACAGCAACTACGCACACACCTACTACGCCGACAAACCCACATGTTTTGCATCATCTTGGGTGGCTTTATAGTACCCCTACGCACCTGCTGACGCGCGCAGCGAGATCTCGCGTCGTGACACTGTATCGACGGTCTGAACTGGTCACGGGAGCCACTCAGGCCAGCCGTTTCTGCATCAGACATAATCAGTCACGCGTCTTTTCAGCAACGATACAGGCCTCGAGGCAGTGGTTCGCGCAAGAATTCTCTCCCAGCTCGAATCGGGTATTGAGGCCTCGGTGTCAGATGGCCATCACTAGTTTAGCCTGTCCTCGCTTTGTTCTCAGTATTTGTTCTCTTCACCCCTGCTCTTACTGTACATTTAGCTGCTGTTCTCCAACTGAAGGAACTGCTGACTGGGACATTCTTTCAGCTCCTGTTGTGTGAGAATGAATTCACTGCACATACGAGTGTGTCATGATGAACTCAATGCTTAGAAGACTGAGGATCCTTCTTATCAAACACTATATCTTTCCACTCATACTTCACATGCAGCACCCATGCAACAAGCCTACAAACCCTTTAACACCAGTCAGACTACAATACCATCCTCAAATAAAAAAAGCATGACTATAATGCCATTCATGCAAAACAAATTAATAACATATTACTAAAGCACAGAGTGAGTGACAAGCCAAATAAGTTACTAGTTAAGTAGTTAGATGAAAAACAACCAAATCTGGCCTTGTGCTTGCAGATTTAAAGGATATTAACAAGCAGTCCTACTCAGAAATATACACTCCATAATCAACATCACATTCAGGACCACCTTAAGGGGATTTATTCAGATTTGACAGAAACATCCTCGCGTTGTAGTACTCAAGTCCAGGACTCTGAGTCAAGTCCGGATTTTCAGGACTTGTGATTTAACTTGGACTTGAGCACTGATGACTTGGACTTGAATGTTGACTGCATTTGGACTCAGAAGTTGTAGATGAAGACCTTTTTGTTTTTTGTAATAGTTCCACTGTTATAGTTGAGTCACTAAACCTCGAGTCCGAGCTAAGTCTTGAATCCCCAGTGTTCAAGTCAGAGTCACCAAAGAACAGTTATAGTCAAGTCTGAGTTGAGTCTCTGTTACCCGAGTTCAGAGTCATCAAAGTATACATTAAACACAGCTGACACAGCTCTCACCATTTTAAAAGGAATTTACTTACTGTGTGGCCAAACAAAAGCACTTGTAGGTGATACAACATGGTGTGGGCAAACAGGTTTTAATATCAGTATGCCAAATTACTATGGCCTAAAACAAACAAAAACAAATCTGGGTCCTGTGACCCCGTTTGGGACTAAGCAGTATAGAAAATGGATGGATGCATGGACAAATCTGAGTCTTGGTCGCCAGCTTTTGAGCTTCCAAGTCCAAATGCTTGTCAATGCTGTCAATTCTTGAACCCAAGTCCAAGTTCAAATCATCAGTGCTAGAGTCCAAGTCAAGTCACAAACCCTGAAAATCAGGAGAAGTTTGACTCGAGATCACTTTTTGGGCCCAAGGGCTACCAGCACTAAATAGGCCATAATAATTTTGCATAAAATATTGATATTAAAAGTGATTTGCCTGCACCATGCTGTTCCATCAAAGTGTACACTTCACCTATCCAAAAAATGCATTTGTTTGGCTATTGTGTCATGCACAGTAAGTAAAATCCTTTTAAGATGGTGAGAGCTGTTGGCAGAAGCATACAACTGCAAAGAAGTCATTTTAGTTGTTTATATTGTGGCAACCTTTTAATACAATCTAGTATCACAGTTTAGTGTAATCACTATGGAACAATGGGTGATGCTTCTGGGTGTTTTTCATTTTGAAGTGTGTGTCACTGATGTCCCTGCTGACTTTATGGATTTGGTTCAGAAGATTACTCTGAATGAGGCCCATATTGACAGAGAGAGGATGTTTTATGTAGGCTGTTAATAACAGATACAGTATTAGTGTGTCAGGAGCAGTTACAAAGTACGTCTGTCTGCCTCTGATGTTAAAGTACTCTGAGGTTAGTCTTGACTGAAGTAAAGGGGTACATAATACAGTGGGAACAGCAAGAATCCAGTCTGCCACAGCTATACTAGGAGCGCTAGGTATCTACTCCGGCATCTTGCTACTTATACTGTCATGTAGTTGTTGCTTTTAAGTAATATTTGTTTGAACTAATTTGCATTCTGTTTTATCTATATATACATGATAATGATTTAGTTTTCTGTGTGCATTGTGTTAAGCACTTTGAATTGCTGTTGCATATGAAAATGTGCTATATAAACAAACTTGCCTTGCTTTACACTGAATCAGGACAAACTGGTTTGCTCAAGTAGTACTGGCTGGGGGCTATGGGAAGCAGGGTTGGACAGTCCAGCCTTGACCTGAAAATGTATTAATTGTCCTGTCCACCATACAATTTTAAGATTCACATCATGTTTCCAGTGTTCTGATTTCTTTGCTAATGTCAGGCTTCATTTGGTTCTGAAATTGCAAAAGGGACAAAACCTAACCTTTGATAGCTAATGGTGTTGTCCTTCAGCCTAAGTTAATTCAGCAAAGATCTTTGGTCCCAGGTAAACACATAATTTAAAATGTCATTTGCATCTAATAATATTTAATCACTGTATAGTGCTCTGTGTGTATGTGGAAGTTTTCAACCTGTTCTCACTTCCAGACAGTCAAATATGGAGACAAGGGGACATGCAGAAAATTTACTGAGAAAATTCACATCCTGGTTCCTGGGAGTCTTTTCTTCCAGCATTGTGCAGGCTTTTTTTGAGTGACTGGATATTAAAATATTTCAGTTTGTCGGTGTTTCTTGGTTGTCGATACAATAGGTGGCGGTATGTACCTTGTAAGATGTTTTTGCGACCCACGAACAGAGGAAGAAGAAGAAGAAGAATTATTGGAAATAAAAAAAGCAGCATATTGTAGTGGAGAGGCAAAATCGTTAATTAGATCAGTAGTGATTAAGGCATAAGAGATAAGAGAATGTGATTCTGATATTAAAGAGAGAGAGAGAGAGTACTATAAAATTCAGAAATCACTTAATGAAAAACAGGTCATAGGAATGTTCTGTAATCAAAAAGAGGAGGTTAAATCTAAAAACAATATTATATTTAATGGGGGAAAAGTCAGTCAAATCTTTGACAGTGGTGTAGTGTTCCAGAAAATGTTGAGCACATGATTATGCATTATTATAAATATAATTCAGAGAGAAAGACACACAAAAGGATTGTGTGCGAAGCAAGACAGGAGTGGTGTTTAAAATCACGACTGGACACAGAGAAAGGATTTAGGGTAATTAGAGGGGGAGTGATTATATTAATTTTGAGACAGGATTAGTAAATAGGATATAATGGCTCTACACACTCCGGTACAGTAGGTGGTGGTATCCGCCAGAAAACAAAAAGAAGCAGTAGAAGAAGAATCAGTAGCAGACGTAATAGTAATAGACTAAAATAGATGTGAGAAAAAATTTGTATTTAGTTAAAGTATATTTTCCGAACAGCCATGGATGTTGCCCTATATCTGATAGCTGCTGCTATCCTCATTGTCCTGATTTTGTTTGCGTTGAAGGTGCGGAGGAGAACGCAGGAAGGTAAGGAGCAGACCCAAGTGAACTAAGCTGATGTTAGTTATTAGCATAGTGTTTGTCAAGTTGTTTGTTTAACATACGGTCATTAAGGTTTGCACATTTTCGACACAGTGTAATACGTTTGACATTCTCATGAAGATTGAAGCAGTAAAGGGGCATATCTGTGATTAAAGCCGTTAACGTATCAGCTGTTTCTGACTTAATGTTAGATAGTCATCTCGTAGCTGATCTGCCAAACTACGGAAGCTGCAGTGGGCTGCTTGAACCCGATTTATTTTTTACGCTCTTAGTAAAGCCGTTTATTTAATAACCACACAAAAACAAGCGTGCGGGACAGAGAAGGACTTGAATAGCTTTTGGTGTTACTTTTGTCTTATTTTCCATCTGTTTTGTTATACTTTTACATTGGCAAAGCAGTTATTTTAAAACGCTGTTTAGTTTCCATTAAAATTAATTGATTACTGTTTGTAAAAATGTAAGAACTACTTTATATAAAACTATTTAAGCATTCTGTTCTGCATGATGTACTAGAACCCACTTCCCAACAACAACAACAATAATCCCACTCCAGTTCTAGTGCCCCCCCCCCGTACCAAATGTTTGGTGAATTATGTGTATTGCATACATATTAGTGTGATGTGTTAATGTGCTCAGCTGATGAGGAACAGTGGCGGGATGTTGTCCAGGCAGCAGGGCCCCCTCTGCGGGCAGCAGAGGAGCGAGGAGCCGGCATGCCTCGCAGGAGGAGGAACCTTGCCGCGATGGCCAACAGAAGACCACAGAGAGAAGCTGTGGAACATGGTAAACTGTGGGAGACAGCATACATAGAGAATGCAAGATGTAGCACACAAATCCACAAAAATTTGTTATAAAATTATAACTAGACAGTAATATAGATTTAATAAAGTATACAGACATATCCCAGTCAGAGCGGCATCTCAAAATTTAAGACATCTCATGAGTAAAAATAAGATTTTTAAAGACATTGCCTTAAATTTTTTAAATTACATTTAATACTTTTAAAGAACCCATCCTGCTACATGTCCTTATAAACCTAGAATTTTTGGGTTGTGTGGAAATTAAAAAAACACTGAAGTGGAAATCAAAAGAAGCCAACTGGTCTTCAGAGTAAAATCATTAGTCAAAGGTTCCATCTCCACTTAAACAAGTCTTGTGATCTGTATAATGTGGGATGTGAGGAACATGTAAGTAGTGTGCTGTTGGTTTCAGAGGAGGAACATGTAGTGGAAGAAGAGCTGGAGCAACAGAACTTCCCATCGACAGCTAAAGTAGGAGCCAAAAAGCAGAAGAAGCTGGAAGAGAAACAGGCCAAGAAAGCGCAGAGAGAGGTGAGAGAGACGTACTGTACATCAGAGTATGCAGTCACACTGAACTCCTGTGCTTTTGCAGGAACATCCAGCGTTTTGTTGTCTTGTGCTGTATTGTGTTGCACTTTATTTTCAGGCAGAGATGGAGGAGAGGGAGGAAAGGAAGAGGATGCAGGAGCTCAGAGAGCAGGAGAGACGGCAGGAGGAGGAGAGGGAGCGATTGCTGGAACAGAAACAGGTTGCACACACTGTCCTCTCAGCTCTATTATCCCTGTGTGTTTGTCAGAGGTGATCTTGAGACTATGCTGGTGTATATTCAGGAGGAGGAGGAACATCGGGCCAAAGAGGAGCAGGAGAGACGGGAGGAGGAGGAGTACTTAAGGCTCAAAGCCTCCTTCATCATAGAAGACCAGGGAGAGGAGGAGCAGCTGACTGAGGACCGGTCACACAACCTGCTGCAAGAATTCATCCAGTACATCAAGGTGAAACTGACAGACCCTAAACATTGTTGCTTATACTGAGGAATCTGAATGAAGTTTAAACAGTGTCCCCTTTGTCTCGCAGAGCTCCAAGGTGGTGCTCCTGGAGGACTTGGCTTCTCATTTTGGGATGAGGACACGGGATGCTATCACCAGACTGCAGAACCTGTTAGCTGAGGGCGCCCTCACAGGTTAGTGTGAGAGGGGTGGAGCCAGAGGATCACTGGCTCCTGCTAAAAACCTGATCGGCCCCTGAAGTGCCCCTGTTCTGTCAGTAGTCTTGACTTACTCCACAGCACCTCTTGTGTTTTGAATCCAGGCAGATCAAGTCATTAGATATTGAGTTTGTGAGGCCCTTCAGCTGTAGTCATGAAACCCACAGGCCTGTAATTGTTGTTGAGATGAGGAATGTGTATAATGTGCCTGAACTTTAATTCAGGTTAGTGATGTGTATATCTGTGTGTGCATTAACAGTAACAATGAAGCTCCATACACCTTTACACTTAAATTCTTCTGTGCTCATGTTCGGTTTTTCTTCACTAAACACACTGATTATAATGGTACACCATCATGTATGTTTTATTTTATATATTTGCAGAGCTTTCCCAAGGTAGAGAAATAGCCAATCAGCTGTTTGATTAGCTTGGCGATGCTGTCAATCACACAGAAGTTTGTCCAAACACTGATTATTGTGCCTGTGCCCAAGCATTTCTATAGTAGGGAAAACCCTCTAAATAAAGAATTGTGCATGAATGTTACATGCATACTTAGCCTCTTTGTGTAAAATGTGGCCCCTGATTTATAAAAAGCCTAGATCTGCCCCTGTAGTGTGACCAGGGCTGCTATGGATGTAGCCGCTCAGAGTATGGTGTATGTTTGTTGCAGGAGTGATTGATGACAGAGGGAAGTTTATCTCCATCACTCCAGAAGAGCTAGACTCGGTGGCTCAGTTCATCAGACAGAGAGGCAGAATTTCCATCTCAGAGCTGGTGCAGGCCAGTAATTGTCTGATTAACCTGATGCCTGAGAGTCGCAGCACCACCTGATGGACGCCAGGCTGCTGCAGGACACCTGAACGACTGCTGAAAAAAGAGCTGAACTCAGATCTGTGTGAGTGAAAAGCACATAACAGCTGGTGCATTGTGCCTGTGGTCCTGCGGGTAACATCACAGCTCAGTAGCCCTTGTGTGAAATAAACATATAGTAACACACTCTGTATGACATTAAATTAACAAACCTATCAATGTGTGATTTTATTGCAAATGATGTGACCTGCACTGTTTAAGAACAGTAGACAGGCAGGTCATGTGGCAGAGTTTATAGACTGACCATGGAGTTAGTGACTGTGTTAATGAAGTCAGGATGGTTTGGTATCTGGTTTTCATAAGTCTTGCAGTTGATGAAGTTAAATTTGAGTCCTCAAGCCTAAAATAATCTCAGAGATAGAGAAGGATTTCAGCTGGATGTCTCCTGATCTTTATCGTGGACTCTCTGTCCTCTCTGACTCAGTTTTCCCATCTCCCATGTAGAGATGGCTCCTCTATCCTGAAAATACAAAAAAAATACACCAGTCCACTCCCCCAATAAACAGTAATATTTAGCATAACACAGATACTGTTTTCTATAAACAAACTATGTTTTAATGTGAACTAACCCAGCATACCTTTATTAGAACACCCAAGGATGCCAGTTCATTTCTGAGGGTGTCACAAGCTTTGAGGAGAGGGATTCTGTCTGCATAGAGTCCAGGTTTGCTTGGAGCATTCTGACGGGATAGCGCGAACGCTCGGACTTCGCTTCTGAAACGAGTCAGTTGCTCCACGACGCCCTGCAGACTTCCACAGCTGCTCACCACGTCAACCTCCTGCACATCATTGCAGAGAGAAGAAACAGCTCTTTCTATACTGGGACCGATTTAAAAGATCTTGTGATATTCTCTGTTTATCTTATCGTCACCAAACTCCATGTGCATACTAAAGCTAAATCCGTCCTACAAACAGGTGTGTGTACTGACCCGACTGTGCAGCAGATCAATCCCAAAAATATCCAAGACCTCTCTGATGTAGCTGATCATTGCTCCAAACACTGTCGGGCTCCGAGATTCTTCGTCCGACTGAGCAAATATACAACATATACACACATCATTCCACTAACAGTCCTTTGAGCTCCTCATTTGACATTTCTAACCACTTATGTCACCACAAAGTCCATCTGAAATTTTGGTTTTAAGTAGCTTCGTCACCACTGCTAGAGTGTGGATACCTGAACTGAGCACGATAGGACTTGTCGGTATCTGAGGGTTCTGACCTGTAGTTCAAACTTTAGTCTAGATGGCTGGAGTTTGGTTTAATGATAAGGGGAAAAGCACCGAACACACTCAGCTGTGTCGAGCTTGGACGCCACAGGTGGCCACGGGTCATGTTCGGACAGAAATATACTTCCTGGTTCACACTCTAGCCACTGTCCATCTGCACAGAAATGATTTTGCTGCTAGTGTCGGCCTGATAGTAGGTAGGTAGTCACATGACCCGTCTGTCCAACATTCTGATTGTAGCCACTGCTGCTTACACTAGTTTACCAGGAGAATGAGTAGAACTGTAACCTTTGGTTTGTTTATGAAGAATAAAATGGTGAATTACCGTAGAAACAGGCCGGAGCTGGCAGTTGCCATGATAAACCAGATTCATTACAGCATCAATGGCTCTAGGGGTATCAAAATCATCTGCCAGAGCTTTAACTACACTGGATTTAGCCTCAGCCAACCTGAAGAAACACAAGAACACAGGTTCTACTTATCAGTTGAACCATAAATGTAACAGTTACATAACACATAACAGTTTCTTATTTGCTTCATTTTTAGGTTTTTGTATGACCCTTCCGTCATAAGAACTAGACTTCAAAGACAATCAGACCAGATGGATATTCTGTATAGGAACAACTTTTCTAAAGTGACGCAAAATTTAAACTAATAGTCCAAAAATAATCGCAAATTTCCCATACACTGTAATAGTGGTAGACCAATTGATTGGATAGTCGATTAATTGGGCTGATAATCAGCATTTTAGATAGTCGTCATGACCGATGTCAGTAGTTTTATTTATTTATTTTTTTTTTTACACAGAGTTTAGTTTTTTGACTACTTGGAGTGCAGAGTGTAGCAAACAGACAATGATCATTATTTTCAAATACTAGAAATAAGTCATAATTCATTTGTGCTAAATAAATGCTCATTTAAGTTCTGCACATTTGTCTCATTTGTTATTATTTGATTGCTGCATTTTATGCGATGCAAAAAGGAAAAAATATTATACTGGCCATTATATAATTACTCTATTGGCCATTGAAAAACCATATTGGTCCTATGTTGTGAGGTCAAAAGGTCACGAGATCTTTAGCGATGTTATGCCCGAAGCAGACAACTCGGTACCTTATTGACCTTTCAAGGCAGGTGTATTGTGGTGCAGTGTTTCGATGCCTCGCTTTAACGTGAGAGAAAAAAAAAAAAATCACGTGACTGCCCCAAACAAGGCCTCATTACCTCACATGCGAATATGTCGTAGCACAAGAAAACCCAAAACCAACAAAGTTCGCAGGTTATAAAACAGCCGGTGACCACAGAACATGAAAGACTAAAATGACACTACAACAGAAACAAATAAGATGAACACAAATGATCAATACATGAATGAACTGATCAGAATGTAAAAGGAAGTTATTACCTCTCCCAGAGAAAAGCTTCTTGTACAGGTGAGCACTGCAGCTGACCCTTCATGTAGGCCTGAACATCATGGATGAAGGTGGAGATGGTCACTAGAGAGGTCCGAGCCTTGGCCATGCTGCCGTCACTGTAGTCTATAGCTGTGGAAACACCGCAGCAAGTCCTGAATACTGTAATGGGATGGGTGATGTCTACTGAATCAGACAAAGCCTACAGTAAAACTTCGCAATGGATGATGGCATGTCAGTTTGCAGCTAAACGTAACCCTTTGGCCTTCTGGTAATACTTTATGGCATGCTGTAATTAATTTTCCTACCTGATCTGTATTTTGCCAAAAGGCAAAACATCCTGAATTCATCAGCTGAGTAAGACTGCAGGAAATCCTGATGGAAGATAAAGATTTTTAAAAGAACTTGCAATATACAATATAAAAGATACATACATTAATTCTATCAAATCAGTCAATACATGCTTAATAATTCAAGAAGACTTTACCTTGATGGTGATATAGTTCTTTAAAGATTTAGACATTTTCTCCATGCTGCCTTTTAGGTGTAAATGTCCTAAAAACACAATAGCAATTTTCAGATTGAAAGCTAATGTACTGCAGTACCATGGCCATACATGACAAGATGGCGCCGCTGTCTTTGGCTTGCCGCTTGCTCCTCCTATGCTCGTTTTCTTTTGTGATTTTCGATACTGTTTTTGTTTTGTCAACGTTGGTATACAATCGCTTGACACTTCTAGATATTCACAACTCAATGCCTGTCTATCGAGGCTATCAATCGAATCCACCTCCACCCCGTTAGCGTCCATACCTTTTTTCCTCAAGCATCCTGTTGGCCCTCTTCCGAGCCGTTTTCATAGTTCTAGTATTCATAGTTCTAGTATTTTACAATAACCTCCTTCACCTGGAGGGGGCAGGTGTGGACCAACACCTGTCTGAATGGATCATAAACTACCTCACAAACAGACCTCAATTCGTAAGGCTGCGGGACTGTGTGTCGGATGTGGTAGTCTGCAGCACAGGGCATTGTAAATAGGCTCATGTGTAATATCTTGTTCCTGATCTCTCTCAAATACTGTACATTGCCCTGCTTTAGGTATTTTTGCGTAGTTGCCCTAGAGATCCTTATGGCTGAAACACAGGTTTCTTTCCCCCATTGTGAGATCAATTGTGTGAGTAATATTCGATTGTTCTTGATTTCCTGGTTGTTTAGTCTCTACTGCTGTTCCTGATTCTTTCCAGTGCTGCTTTGCCCTGTTTTTAGGTACCTTTGATTTGCTTATTTGTGCTGTGTAAAATGTAACGTTCTGATGATGCAACTTTTATAATCCTTGTATCTTCCTAATGCTTTGTTGCCTTTATGTAACTTTTTATTTTAAGACTAAGTGTTCTTTGTTACTACATACTTGCATACGCATGCGCCGCGCGGAGTGGCAGTAAGTTACAGCAGCTGTGTCCTCGTTGTGTTCTTTCCTGTGTTTCTATGAAGTTCTGTTCTTATGTGTCTGTTCTTAGGGTGGTGTCTGTTCTTATGGTGTTATGTTGGTTGTTCTCTATTGCTGCTGTAACACAGAAATTTCCCCACTGTGGGATCAGTAAAGTACCTACCTACCTACCTATCCCTCAACAACAAGACTTTTGTTCTTAATGACCTTATTTCCATGTATGACCTGGATTTGCTCTTTCTCACTGAGACCTAACACAAGGCGATAATAGTCCGTTCTCTGAGTTCCTCCCGGCTGGATATTCGTTTTTTAACACCCCGTGCCCTGCTGGCAGAGGCGGTGTTCTGGTGTCTGTCTTCAAGCCTACCTTAAAATGCCGCCTCATCCCTTCAAGAGCTATTCCAGCTTTGAGCTACAAATTTTTGTTTTAATGCTGCACTGCCCGATCTTACGTGCAGTGGTTTATCGCCCGCCTAAATCTAAGGACTTCATTAATGAATTCGGGGAACTCCTGACGGAGCTCATCCCACAGTTTGACAGCTTTCTTATCTGTGGAGATTTTAACATCCACGTTAACTGTGCTTCCGACCAGCTAGCGAATGACTTTAATTCCCTATTGGACTCTTTTGATCTCATCCAGTCAGTAGTATCTCCCACTCATCAACGTAGGGGCACACTCAACCTCGTCATCTCGAGGGGATTGTCTGTGTGCATTGGGGATGTATCAAATATGGCTATTTCTGATCATTTTTTCATCCGTTTTGAGGTCCTAGCCCCGCTACGTCTACATAGACCCACGGCTCTTCGTCAGTGCCACAGGGTGATCACCCCTACTACAGCCTCTGATTTTGCTGCTGCTTTCCTAGCCTCTGACGTTTATTCTTCAGAAGCCCTGAAGCCTCCGTCATGCCGATGTCTTTCTCTCCTCATTCGAACTCTACATGCTCCCGGATTATGGATTCCATCACACCCTTCAGAAAAAAGATATCTAGAAACACTTCTGCCCCGTGGTTAAATGACACCACCCGGGCATTGCGGAGACGCTGCAGGCAGGCTGAGCGTAGACGGAAGAAGGATGGCCTGCATGTCTCTCTGGGTGTGTTAAGAGACAGTTTGGTTACCTATCAGAAATCTGTAAAAGATGCTAAAACTGAATACCTTTCTAACATTATTTCGAATAATATTCATCATTCTAGAGTTCTTTTTAAGCATGCTATAGTGAGACCTCTCCTTAAGAAGCCCAACCTCGACCCCACTATTTTGTGGAAACAATACAGTAGAGAATTTGACAGCAATTATCAGAACTAAAGGGAAACAGAAGTGTCTGTGATGGTGGATTTACCTGAGTGGAGGAAGTAGTTTGCCCACTGTCTGCACTGGTGATAGGCTTCGCTCTGGGCGATCTCATTCTCATGGTGAGGAAAGGCCAAGTCGATACCTCCAGAGTGGATATCCAGCTGACTCCCAAACACAAAGCTGAAACCACCATAGAAACAACACTGCACTGAGTCTGACAAGCCTGCAATGTCATTATTTAGCACTCTAGCACGAGAGCATAGTGCTGTGTTTCTGGCTGCTGTGTATGTTAGCCCAAAAACTAATGCTTCTGCGGCTCTCAGCAAACTCTATGATGTCATCGGCGCGTTAGAGACAGCGCACCCCGATGCTGTATTTATCGCTGCAGGCGACTTTAACCAGTGCAATTTACGGACTGTTCTTCTCAAATATTACCAACATGTGAACATTCCTACCCGGGGCAAAAACACTCTAGATCATGTTTAGAGTAACATACAGTGGGTACGGAAAGTATTCAGACCCCCTTAAATTTTTCACTCTTTGTTATATTGCAGCCATATGCTAAAATCATTTAAGTTCATTTTTTTCCTCATTAATGTACACACAGCACCCCATATTGACAGAAAAACACAGAATTTTTGACATTTTTGCAGATTTATTAAAAAAGAAAAACTGAAATATCACATGGTCATAAGTATTCAGACCCTTTGCTGTGACACTCATATATTTAACTTAGGCGCTGTCCATTTCTTCTGATCATCCCTGAGATGGTTCTACACCTTCATTTGAGTCCAACTGTGTTTGATTATACTGATTGGACGTGATTAGGAAAGCCACACACCTGTCTACATAAGACCCTACAGCTCACAGTGCATGTCAGAGCAAATGAGAATCATGAGGTCAAAGGAACTGCCTGAAGAGCTCAGAGACAGAATTGTGGCAAGGCACAGATCTGGCAAAGGTTACAAAAAAATTTCTGCTGCACTTAAGATTCC